AAATAAGTGTGAATAAGTCATGCAAAATTCTATTTCAATAAAATGGACTTTTATTTAACTGGAGATCCATCCATGCATCCCTAATCCATTAATATTCAGAGATTTTTCTTCAAGAAGGTTCTTGCCAATGTGTTTGTGCTTGTTACTATGTCCTAGTATACATAAAATAATTCAAGTTGTAAAAAATACTTAATTTGGAGCTAGTGAAAAATATATAATTTATACAGGGTTTTAAAAATGAAAAGGGTGGAAAGGTATACACAAATGCAATAATTATCTTATTCTCTGAGAAACATGAACTCCTTTGTTCTTAAAGAGAAAAATGTAAGGAAGTTGTGTTTAATTGGACTGTGGTATAACAATTCCCAAACATCTTCTAGAAGAGCCATGTTTTTATCTGTTCTGGAAGACCACGAGGTAGAAACTAAATGCATTTTGGCAAGGAAGATGTTCAAAGAGGCTATAATTGAAATTATAACGTCATTGGGACTCCTTATTCCTCATTGGGACTCCTTATTCCTGGGGATTCTCAGCAGACTTCCCTGGTTATGTAGGTAGGATGGCTGAAACTGTTGGGGAAAAAAGTGGTCCCCAAAATGCCCAGAGCTAATAGATCTTTTTAGAAAGCAACCAGCATCTCGAATTACACTTGGAAAATTAATGGTCATCAGTGCAGCTTGTGCAACAGAGGCATAACGTGGCAGTGCCTTGACTGACCACTGAGTATGTGTACTGTTGCATGCTGGACCTGTTTAAGTTTCTGGGTAATCTTCAAAGGTTGTAGAGTGAATCACAAGAGATTATGAGGGCAGTTCATCCTGTTCCAGATAAGAGTGCAGTTAGTGCACCATCTGAAGTTATTAAAAAACCCTCCTGGCCATGATATTTCTCTCCTCTTCAACCAAGAACTCTTGAGTCCAGGAGGAGGACTTGATGGTCATGCTCCATCCCTCTGATGGATCATGACCATGAAGAGCCAGAAATGGTCCAGTCCTGGAATCAAGTCATTCCATGCATCAACAACCTCTCTCTCTTGTTTTAGTTGAATGAATATGTTTTTCTCCATCCAAAATCTGATAGCCTACAGACACAGGTCGAGATTTCCACTGCATCTTCCAACAGGCCTGAGGTGAAGTTATCTAGCTTTACTCTGCAACAAAAGGATTATCTTGGTATTTTCAAGCTTTCATTTCCCAGAATGTTAATTAAGGGTGTTTAAGATTGATGTTTGGCAAAATATTGCATTATTGCTTTTTCTAATAATGAGTATAAAAAAAAAATAGTTCATTCTTTTCAAGGAATTTGGAATCTAGTAACCTCCATTATATTGCTGGTATCAAAGACCAGTTCCAGCATGGTTCATGAGGGCAAGTTTACATGAAGGCAAAACCTGGCATTCAATTTACCTAAGAAGATACATGATAGAAACTTAGATATGGAAAATTAAAGGCTCTTTCTAGGACAGTTCCCCAAAGGCCAATAAATTATTTCAGTGCCAATAAATTAGCATTATATAAGCCATTCAACTAATTAATCTTACTGTGGAAAATCATCTGCAGAAAGAGCTATGTATGCCAAGAGTTATTTAGTTTAGAGTAGGGGTCCCCAAACTCTTTAGCTCATCAACCCCAACATGAAGTTTTAGATTGTTCATCAGCCACCAAACAAGAAAAGCACAATATCTGTAATAAATATTGCAACTGCACTTATATTACATTTTAAAGTAAAGATGAAAATTTATTTTAAAATCCAAACAAGAATACCCAATGTAAGAAAGTGTAATCTCTTTTAAAAAATACTCATATCAATTAAACTAGTCTTTTACATTTAAGCATTCAGTGTTAAACTGAACTGAGTACTAATTTTATATGAATGGTGCCTAAAATTGGATCAAGAATTTGATTAAAATACCCACCAATTATCAAAACATTGGATGATAATCAAGAGAAGATGGCTTAGACAATTATAAAATGCACCAATAGTATCTAAATTAGGAACATAAGTATTAGCTGGAGGGAATTATTTTTTAACACTTAATTACCATAATGATAATGGCCTTTTACATCTGTTATCATTTTCAACATAAAGTGCCTTTATTAAAAGGGCCATACTTTTTTTTGTAAAACTACTAATATAAACTTAGCTCATCCAATCTTTCTGCTACCTAACCTTTATCACCAATAGTTATATGTGTCTTGCAAAGATGCAAGTCTTGAGTCTTGTGAGCTTAACAAAGTTTGTTTTCCTTTGTCAGAGGTTTCCAGACTATTCATATTATTTAAAGACACAATCCAAAGAAATATTTATGCAAACAAAAAGATTGTTAAAAAGAAATACTAAAACAGAGAAAACTTGGGAAACCCAACTAAAACACACTATGTAAGTTTTGAAATCTTGGAAGTTCACAGTGATGATAGGCCTTTCATACATCAACTTTTGATCAGGAAACTAGAAAATGAGTTATAACATGTACAAAATTAGCATATTAATTAAAATGGAACAGGGGACAAATAAGTATAGGTTCAGAATAATTAATTTTCTCCACAGCTGTTGTCATTCTTTCAGGATACTTTAAATCATTTCATTCATGTTTGTTTGAAAGAAGTCTTAGCAAATCAGTGCAGTTTTCTCCATGATACAGAGAGCCTTAATGTATTTTATAAAAGAATTCCAGTCAAGGAATACCTATTCATATATGAAACTGCCCTTTCTTTGATACCCACCTGGCTTGTCCCACCTTTTTGAAATTAGATGGCTAGCACTGTTGCCCTCTGTTGAGGGAATTCAGCTGGTGTTAATTCTTTTCTCTCCTTCCTTTAGTCCCTAAGATTTTTCTACTCCCCCTCCCCCAGGTGTTTGAAATTTTAAAATCTGTTATGATTTAAAACTGTTTTTCTTTTAAATAGTAATATAAGATTTATATTATTTTATATTAACATTTTAGTGCTTTTATTTCTGTAAATTAACAAAATTCTAAAATTAAAAAAAAAATTGGTGCATCCTACAACTTAAATTATGCTGCTTGCTGAATGTGTGTTCCTAAACCAAATGTTAACTCAGAACCAACCACCATTCCTGATAAATGTTTATTCAGACTAAAGTTTATGTTGCAAGTAAAAGAATAATTCTATTTCTTATTTCCTGTGATAACACATTTTCAAGGCTGTCTTTCTAGGATCTGATG